CAAAGGCATGAAGATGAGCATAGTATGGGATGCAAGCAAGGCAGTGATGAGAGGCTTTTTTATTCAACAGAATTCATTGAAGAATAAGAACAGAGAAAAAGGGAAAAAAGAAATTTTAAAGCAGATAATGGACAATGAACAAAAATAATCAAAAAACCAAATAATTCAAAAATAAAACAAGAGATCAAGATTTTGCAAACACAATTTGCAATGATTATAAATAAAGAAATAGAACTGAATATTACAAGGTTAAGACAAAAAAAATTTGAATTCGCAAACAAATCTGGTAAATGGCTTGCGTGGCAAATCAAAAAGAGAAAGGAGCAAAACACAATCAACAAAATTATTGTAAACGGAAAAGAGATTGATAATCCAAAAGGAATCAGAAAAGGATTCTTGGACTTTTATAGACAATTATATAAAAACAGAGAAAGAAATAATATGAGGAAAATAGAATGATTTTTGAAAGAAAAAAAGGTGCAGAAGATCCCGGCAGAAAAGAAAGACCAACTGAATGTCCCAATAGGAAATGAGGAGATAAAAGAGGCTATAAAGGAACTGAAAAGAGGGAAAGCCCCAGGACCAGATGGATTCACAGCAGGCTACTATAAAGAACTGAGAGATGTTTTAATAACACCACTGAAAGAAGTCATGAACAATATTTTAAAAGAAAGAGACATCCCAGAAACATGGAAAGAAGCATTCATTACACTTATCCCTAAACAGGACTCAGACTTAACACAAGTTAAAAACTATAGGCCTATTTCACTGCTTAATACAGATTACAAAATATTTGCAGGGATTTTAGCGAACAGATTTAAAAAGATATTGCAAGAAATTATTCATAAAGATCAAGGTGGTTTCCTTCCAGGCAGGCAGATGAAAGATAATATAAGAAATGTAATTAATATTTTGGAGTATCTGACTGCCAGGAATGAGAAACAAGCTATATTAATGTTTGTAGATGCAGAAAAGGCCTTTGATAATATTGCTTGGGATTTTATGTTGAAGAATGTGGAGTTTAACATGTTCTCTGACTTGTTCATATGGCTTTAATTTCCATTTTCCTCCTTCTTTGGTTATCAATTCACCATATGTAATCCAATTACCTCTCATATTTATTTTCTTTACACTCATAACCTCTAATGGAGACAACCAGTGTGGAAGTCTTGGTTCTAATAGGTTTTTATACCTATCCCATATTTCAATTAGTGAGCTCCGGAATATGTGGTTCCCAAAGCCTTTATGAATTTTCTTCTTTTCACACCATAAATGCGCATGCCATCCAAATCTGTTATCAAATCCTTCTAAATCTAATAACTCCTTGTTCTCTAATTTCATCCATTCTTTCAACCAGCAAAGACAGGCTGCTTCGTAGTATAGTTTCAAGTCCGGCAGGGCGAAGCCTTCTCTTTCCTTTGCATCCGTTAATAACTTAAATTTAATTCTCGGCTTCTTGCCCTGCCAGATGTACCTTGAAAGCACTCTTTGCCACTCTTTAAAAATTACTACCCCCTTTATTATGGGGATAGTCTGAAACAAGAATAACATCTTTGGAAGGACACTCATTTTTATCGTAGAAATTCTACCCCAAAAAGATAACTTCATTCTTCTCCACACCTCTAGATCTTTCCTTATTCCGTTCCAGACGGAATAGTTGGAATGGAATATGAAAGATGAAGAAGTTAAATCGGTAATGGTACAATGGGCCAGAGATTTTGGGTACAATATACAGTTTGAGGATTGGGAAAAATTGTGGAAGGAGAACTTAAGATTCACTGCTTGTACGGCATTAAAAGAAAATGTTATGAAAATGTTTTACAGATGGTATATCACACCGGTAAAATTAGCAAAAATGTATAAGACGTGTAACAAGTGTTGGAAATGTAAGGAAAAAGAAGGACGGTTTTATCACATGGGGTGGGAGTGTAAGAAAGTGAAGGGTTTCTGGGAGATGATTTATAATGAAATGAAAAAGATGTTAAAATATACATTTGTAAAGAAACCAGAGACCTTTCTTTTAGGAATTACAAGAAAGGAAAAAAGAAGAAAGGACTGTAAACTTTTTCAATATGCGGTTAAAGCAGCAAGAATTCTACTGGCCCAGAAATGGAAACAAGAGGAAATACCGACGATAGAAGAATGGAGACTGAAGCTGACAGACTATGCAGAACTGGACAGATTAACTGGGAAAATTAGATATCTTCGAGACCAAAAGTTCATAGAGGACTGGGGGAAATTTGTTGAATATCTGAAAAGATTGTGTGATGTGCAAACAACGCTGGTGGGGTTTCAAGAAGCACTGTGAAAGTTGAGATATAGTGTTAAAAAGAAATAGAAGTTGGAGGGAAGTTTAATGGCAATATAAACAGAAGAAATGCGTAATTGAGAGGTAAATATGGATGATTGTCAGAGAAGCCGAAGGAAGTCCAAAAAGAATTAAATTTGTGGAAATTTTGATAAGATTGTATATTTGTGTTGGAAAATTAATAAAAATTATTTTTTAAAAAATGGAAAAGACCCTGATGTTGGGAAAGACTGAAGGCGCAAGGAGAAGGGGACGACAGAGGACGAGATGGTTGGACAATGTTCTCGAAGCTACCAGCATGAGTTTGACCAAACTGCGGGCAGTGGAAGACAGGAGTGCCTGGCGTGCTCTTGTCCATGGGGTCACGAAGAGTCGAACACGACTAAACAACTACAAAAAGTTCAAGACAGAGTATATGGAAAATCAGATCAGGTTATTTTTTCAAGATAATAAAGGATCAGTTACTCCAGAAATCCTCTGGGATGCAGCAAAATGTGTATTTAGGGGCAACTGTATAATGAAAGAATATACTCCCAAATTATCCCAATACGCAGAGGCGTTTGGCAGGGGTGTCCTCTTTCGCCGTTCCTATTTATAACGGCTATAGAACAACTAGAGGAAAGGATAAGGAACTGTGGAAGGATAGAGGGCTATAGGATTAGGAAAGAGGAGGTGAAAATCAATTTGTTTGCAGATGATATTATTGGAATCATAACAAATCCTAAGGAAGGGATAAAAGAAATAAAGTTAATATTAGAATATTTTGAGGAATATTCTGGATTAGGTGTAAATATAACAAAATCAGAAATAATGTATTTTAATGTAAATGTAGCTGGAAAAAACGTAATAAACAACATAACAGGAATGGGCCTGGGGTCTAAAAGAATAAAATACCTAGGCATCAAACTCTGCAGAAATATTAACAAGACTGCAGAATTCAACTATAAGAAGGTATGGCATAAAATACTAAAGGATATGAAAAGATGGAGAAACAAAACGCTAAGCATTACAGCTAGAGTCAAGGTTACTAAAATGTTCTGGGACCCTAAGTTGAGCTATCTCTTCCAAGCTATCCCACCAGAGATGAGAAAACAGCAAATGGAACAATGGAATCATGAGACAAAACAATGGATATTTGGAAGTAAAAAATCTAGGATGCAAAAGAGATTTGTGTACAACCACAAATCAGAACTAGGGTGGGGCCTCCCAAACATTTACAATTATTACAAAGCTCTTCAATTAAAAAAAATACTAGAAATTGCAGTTGAAAACAAACAAAAGTGGATCAAATTTGAGGATGAGGCAAACAATGGCGCAGGAAGATTTGGAATTTTAACAAATAATGTAATCAAAGATTTGAAATCTGCAATAGGCCCCAAGAAACTGGCAATAGGTATATGGAGGAAATGGCAACCTTTCTGGTTAAAAGGATTTCTCTAATTGCACCCTTAGAAAGTATTTATGAGGTAACAGATGATCCAAAATAGTGGAAAATTCTAAACGCTAAGAGATATCATATAGTTAAAAGTATGTATAGAGGAGAATCCTTAAAGTCATTGCAGGAATATACAGAATATAGATAACCAATATTGGTTAAAAATTGGAGGACTATGCAACAAAATTTCCAAAGTCCAAGAGACAGGAAACAGGAGTTTAGAAGAGCCAATAGAGGAACTATACAAACAAATGGAAAAAACGAAATAAGGAATGACAGGTAAAATCTATAACAGAATGATTACAAATAATGAACAGACAGCCCAACTTATTCAAAAGATGTGGAGTAAGGAAGAACAAGTTAGCGAAGCAACGGTTGAAAGGATAATGAAAGGAACAGATGAGATTTAAGTAAGCAAATTTAGAGAGCTGAAATTAAAATTATTTCTAAAATGGTACAGAACTCCAGCCCAGCTTGCTAATATGGTAGCAGGATTGAATTCTAACTGCTGGCACTGTAAACAAGTCAAGGGATGGTTTTCCCATATGTACTGGGAATTCCCAGAGGTAAAGGAATTCTGGGGGGAAATCCTAAAGGTTATTAAGGAAATTTTTAAAGTGAAGCTTTCAATAGATTTTGATTTCATGACAGTGGGTATACTTGGAAACATGGCTATAGAGAAAGGGGACCAGTTTACCTTCAAAGCTATGATACTAGCGGGAAAGGCAACGATAGCTTTAGGTTGGAAAGAGAGAGGAAAATGGACACTAGAGGCATGGACTAGTTATTTGTTTGAAGTTATTCAGTCAGACATTGTCGCAGTCATGTCACAGGAAACAACGTGGAAGGTCAAGTCCACCACAATAAGGAACAGAGGGAACCCTTATCTTGAATGGATAAAAACTACTGGAACAAAAGACATTCAGTAGAAACTAAAGACACTATGCCCATGGTTGAGGATAATTGTTTGAACCCTTCCAATGGGTATGGGGGGGGAGGAGGAAAAGGAAAAAATTGTACAAGAAATTTAAAAATTGGATGGAGATAATATATGTATGCAGAAAATCCCGAACTTGAATAAAATAAAATAAAATTTTTAAAAAGAAAGTAATGTAAAACAGATTAGTCCGTTCCAGACTTTAAAAAAAACTCCTAAAACAGCAATTTAACATGAATATTACTATCTAACAAGACCATTGATCCATAAAATGAAAGCAATAATCAATGTACTGTACTATAAAGGAAAGAAAACAGTACTGTACAGAACTGTAAGCAGCGTCTCGGCGGAAATTGCTGAAATGTCCGGGAAAATCTGGACATATGGACATCTGGACATATGGCAGCCCATGTCGCAAGTGTAGATTTCGGCAAACGTCACTTAAAATAGACACACACACCCCCCCAGTTCCTTCAAGCACTCCTCATAAGGCTTGGTTTCAGACCCTTGATGATCTTGATTGAGTCCTCTGCATCATTTTCATGAAGTTTTCCCTTAGCATGTAGCTAGCTGTAAACCTTAAATTTACTTTCCACAGTTGTTCCCATAAAGCAAAGTCAATGTTGTGACTTACATCTCTAGCCCAGCTTCTCATTGATGATTTCATCATTTCATTCTTTGTATTCCACTCAAGTAATGTTATACATTTTAGATACAGTGGTACCTCGGGTTACATACGCTTCAGGTTACAGACTCCGCTAACCCAGAAATAGTACCTCGGGTTAAGAACTTTGCTTCAGGATGAGAACAGAAATTGCGCAGCAGCAGCAGCGGGAGGTCCCATTAGCTAAAGTGGTGCTTCAGGTTAAGAACAGTTTCAGGTTAAGAACGGACCTCCGGAATGAATTAAGTACGTAACCAGAGGTATCACTGTACTATTTTAACCCGGAGCCTAATAACTCTCTTTCAAACTGTGAGTTTTGTTCTGCAAATCCATTTTTTAAAATCTAACTTAAATGTTGCATTCAACTGATGGTAACTTGACCAGTCTCCCTCCCACCTAGAGGAAGAAGTTCCCTTTATAGGGATCCCACATACAATTAAGCAATACCACACGGCCCTAAACCTAACCTCCCAATACATTGACCTTAGCAGGTAAACTATTGGTCTGCTGTGTCAAAGTTTTACTGGACGGTTGGATAATATTGGCGAGAGTGCCTGTAATCTCACAGTCACCACTTCCCCTGGAATAAGAATCACTTCCGTCCAAACCAGTAAGTATGTCTGTAATTATGACAATCTAACCAATGCCCAGATGACTTAAGCCGTATATCGGACTCCTCTCCATGGGTTTTCCCCGAATATAGAGCATGGTCCAATCCCCTGGACATTCTCAGACATACAGAAGTCCTTCTCAAGGTCATGAAGGAATCTGAAGAGGTGATTCAAGCAACACAAAAGGAGATTCCTCATAAGATCAGGAAGAACTTTCTGATAGTAAGAGACAACAGTGAAAAGGAACTCCCTCAGAAGAGAGAGGACTCTCCTTCATTGGAGGTATATAAGAAGAAGTTGGATGGCCATCTGTCATGGATGCTTGAAATGAGTTTTTGTCTGCATTGGCGGCAGTTGGACTAGATTCCGAGTCTACCATTCTATTATTCACCCTGCTGTGAGTTCTTGAATTGACTTTTTTACGAGTGAAATTTTATCCACATTCCATGCGCTGATATGCTTTAAACCCTGTATGAACTATTTGGTGGGCCATGAGAGTGGCATTCTGACTGAAGCTCTTCCCTCATTCCAAACACTAAGAGGTTTTCTCTCTGGTGTGAATTATTTGATGGGAAGTGAGATTGTGGCTGTGACTGAAGCTCTTTCCACATTCCAAGCACTGATAGGGTTTCTCCCCTGTATGGATTCTGTGATGGGAAGCGAGATGTGATCTGTGACAGAAGCTCTTCCCACATTCGAAGCACTGATATGGTTTCTCCCCTGTATGAATTTTAAGATGAGAAGTGAGACTCTGCCTCTGACTGAAGCTCTTTCCACATTCCAAGCATTGATATGGTTTCTCCCCTGTATGAATTTTATGATGGGAAGTGAGACTGCTGCTCTGACTGAAGCTCTTTCCACATTCCAAGCATTGATATGGTTTCTCCCCTGTATGAATTCTTTGATGGGAAGTGAGACTGTGGCTGTGACTGAAGCTTTTTCCACAATCCAAGCACATATGTGGTTTCTCTCCTGTATGAATTCTTTTATGGGTTATGAGATTGCGGCTTTGACTAAAGCTCTTCCCACATTCTAAGCACTGAAAGGGTTTCTCCTCTGTATGGATTCTTTGATGGGAAGTGAGACTGCTGCTGTGACTGAAGCGCTTTCCACATTCCAAGCACTGATAGGGTTTCTTCCCTGTATGAATTCTTTGATGGCAAGTGAGAGTTTCCTTCTGACGGAAGCATTTTCCACAGTCTAAGCACTGATAGGATTTCTCCCCTGTATGAATTGTTTGATGGGAAGTGAGATAGGTCCCATCCCGGAAGCTCTTTCCACATTCCAAGCACTGATAGGGTTTCTCCCCTGTATGAATTTTATGATGGGAAGTGAGACCCTGCCTCTGACTGAAGCTCTTCCCACATTCCAAGCACTGATATGGTTTCTCCCCTGTATGAATTGTTTGATGGGAAGTGAGATAGGTCCCATCCCGGAAGCTCTTTCCACATTCCAAGCACTGATAGGGTTTCTCCCCTGTATGAATTTTATGATGGGAAGTGAGACCCTGCCTCTGACTGAAGCTCTTCCCACATTCCAAGCACTGATATGGTTTCTCCCCTGTATGAATTCTTTGATGGGAAGTGAGACTTTCCTTCAGACAGAAGCTTTTTCCACAGTCTAAGCAGTGATAGGGCTTCTCTCCTGTATGAATAGTTTGATGGTAAGTGAGCTTGTCCTTTCGACTGAAGCTCTTCCCACATTCCAAGCACTGATAGGGTTTCTCCCCTGTATGGATTCTTGAATGGGAAGTGAGATGTTGTCTGTGAAAGAAGCTTTTTCCACAATCCAAGCACTGATAGGGTTTCTCCCCTGTATGGATTCTTTGATGGGAAGAGAGACTCTTGTGGTGAATGAAGCTCTTCCCACATTCCAAGCACTGATAGGGTTTCTCCACTGTGTGAATTATTTGATGGGAAGTGAGACTTTTCTTCAGACGGAAGCCTTTTCCACAGTCTAAGCAGTGATAGGGCTTTTCCCCGGTATGAATTGTTTGATGGGAAGTGAGATTGCCCTTTCGACTGAAGCTCTTCCCACATTCCAAGCACTGATAGGGTTTCTCCCTGGTATGAATTCTTTGATGGGAAGTGAGATCGCTGCTCTTACTGAAGCTCTTTCCACATTCCAAGCACTGATAGGGTTTCTCCCCTGTATGAATTCTGTGATGAGAAGTGAGATCCCTACTCTGACGAAAGCTCTTCCCACATTCCAAGCACTGATTGGGTTTCTCCCCGGTATGAATTCTGTGATGGGAAGTGAGATGTGAGCTTTGACTGAAGTTCTTTCCACATTCCAGGCACTGAAAGGGTTTCTCCCCTGTGTGAATTCTTTGATGGGAAGTGAGATGTGAGTTTTGACTGAAGCTCCTTCCACATTCCAAGCACTGATAGGGTTTCTCCTCTGTATGAACTTTTTGATGGGAAGTGAGATGCCCACTCTGACGAAAGCTCTTTCCGCATTCCAAGCACTGATAGGGTTTCTCCCCGGTATGAGTTCTTTGATGGGAAGCGAGATTTGAGCTTTGACTAAAGCTCTTCCCACATTCGAAGCACTGATAGGGTTTCTCCCCGGTATGAGTTCTTTGATGGGAAGTGAGACTATTCCTTCGAATTAAGGACTTTGTTTGATTGGAGGGGGACTGGGAGCTCTGACAGATGTTCTCTCCACACTTTGAATATTTATCGGACTCCTCCGCTATGTGGATTCTGTTGTGGTTCCCCTTGTTGTTACCTTCCAATTCATCACCATCTGCAATGAAGAGAGAAGCTAATTAGAGCCTCAGGAAGAAATGGAGCTCCAGATTACTGAACAATGTTAATGAATGCTTGTGATAGAGGAATAACTGAAGAGAGTTAGATGTGAGTCCTTACTATAGTTTTCACTGCCTTTGTTGGCTGGAATTGCTTGGCTTTTATCCGGGATAGATTTTGTTTGCCTCAGTCTGTTGGAGGGGGATTTCCAGCTGGTGGCAGAGGACAGAGTGACTCCAGGAGACATAGGTGTAAAAACTCAAACTAAAATGAAGACTTTATTACCAAACAAATAAACACAAACTCTGGTGGGTGTTATTCCTGCAGGCAGGCTACAAAACGCTCCTTTCCCCTTTTTACAGCCACGGCCAGTTGCAACCAATTAACCCAGAAACTTCTTTAAGGTATACACACATGTTTCTGTGTAGAATGTCTCCCAACACCCCCTCTCATTCAAACAGAAACAGAAACAACGGTACTTTAAACATATACAGAACATATTTACACATCACACACAACAATTCCTAATTTTGTCACTAGTTGTGCATGTTTCTCAAAAGTTAGTGCTTTTGTAAATATATCAGCCACATTTTGCATACTCTCACAATACTTCAGCATTATCAGGTTTTGCTTCACATTTTCAGCCACATTTTGATATTTAATTTCTAAATGCTTTGATTTGTTTCTAAACTGCTCAGACCCAGCCAAAGTTTTTACAGCTTGATTGTCTTCCCATATTTGAACGGGATAATCACATTGTATATCTAAATCCTTGAGGATCTGAACATAAAATTTTATTTCATTACACAACTCTGATAAAGCACAGTATTCGGCCTCTGTTGAAGATGTGGCCATGATACCTTGCTTTTTGGACTTCCAACCTATCAAGGAATCCCCAAATTGAAATACTATTCCAGAAATTTATTTTCTATCAGGCAGGTTGGCCCAATCGCTGTCAACGTAACACTGCAATTTTGTAGACCCTGAAGATGGCAATTTCAAACAATAATCAAGTGTTTGTTTTAAATACCAGAAAATATGTTTTAAACCTTTCCAGGCATTTTCTGTGGGACAGCTTACTAGTTTGCTCAGTATTCCAACTGCATAACTCAAATCTGGTCTGCTCCACAATGAAATGTATAATAAACTTCCAACTATTGAATGGTACATTTCATGATTTACAGGTTCTGTGCATTCTCCTTCATTCTTGAAAAAACCTATTTCCATTGGGGTTTTTACTCCCTTGCTGTTTTGCATATTGTTTCTTTCAAGTAACTCCATTATTTTATCTCTTTGACTCAACAAAAAACTTCCATCGTTTGTTCTTTGAATTTCTAAACCGAGATAATTTTTTACTGGACCCAAATCTCTTACTTTAAATTCCTTTCTTAGTTGTTCTGCAAACTTTTCCACTTGCTTGTCACTTTTTGTAGAGTAAAGCAAATCATCAACATAAGATAGACATATTTCTTGTTTATCACCCTTTCCTTTAGTGTACAAGCAGTTATCAGCTAAGCTTCTCTTAAAGCCAAGATTTTTTAAAGCATTATCAAGACACTCGTTCCAATTTTTGGCTGACTGTTTGAGCCCATAAATTGCTTTGTTCAGCCTATATACAGAATTCTGTTCGCCTGCCTCAAAACCTGGCACTTGATTCATAAGAAGAAGAAGAAGAGTTTGGATTTGATATCCCGCTTTTCACTCCCTTTAAGGAGTCTCAAAGCGGCTAACATTCTCCTTTCCCTTCCTCCCCCACAACAAACACTCTGTGAGGTGAGTGGGGCTGAGAGACTTCAGAGAAGTGTGACTGGCCCAAGGTCACCCAGCAGCTGCATGTGGAGGAGTGGAGACGCGAACCCGGTTCCCCAGATTATGAAACTACCGCTCTTAACCACTACACCACACTGGAAGAAATTTCTTGCAGATTTGCGTTAAGATAAGCTGTTTCAATATCAAAATGATTTACCTTAAACCCACGTTGTGCTGCAAGAGCTAGCAATAAACGTACACTTTCACTCCTTGCAGTAGGAGAAAAGGTTTCATCAAAGCTTTCACCTTTTCTTTGAGTAAAGCCTCGTGCTACCAGCCTAGCTTTGTACTTAACACCACCATCTGCCAAGTGTTTTATTTTATACACCCATCTACAGCCCACTGCCTTTTTTCCTTCTGGCAATGCCTCTGTGGTAAACACATTATGTTCTGCTAAAGATTTCATTTCTGCTTTCATTGCATTTTTCCACCTTACTATTTCCTGGTGTGGTAACTTTAAAACCTCCTCATAATCACAAGGTTCTTTCTTCACATCAACAGTTTTAACTTCTTGTATAGTAAACCTTTCTGGAGGTACCCCCTTATTGCTTCTTTGTGATCTTCTAACCTGAACACTCGCCCCCTCTGAACTATCTTCCCCTTCTGATTCATCTTGCTCAGGAGAAATTGCTTCAGCTTTAGGAGATTGTGTACTGGGACCCTCATCCCCTGAGTTCTCACCACTGTCTCTTTCAGAATTTTCTTTAATTTGTGGCTTTTCTACCTCAGATTTCACAAATTTATTTGTATCATCAGAAGATAACACAACTTCTGAATTTCCATGTAAACGAGCCCAACCATCTTGCTCACAAAACTCTGCATGTCTTGATATCACAACTCTGCCACGCCGTAGTGCAAAACAATACCCCTTTGACCAAGTTTGATAGCCAACAAACCTAAGTTTCTTTGCCTTGGGTTCTCCTTTCCTTCTCTGTCCTTTTAAGATGTGAACCCAAGCCCAGCAACCAAAAGTTTTAACATGGTCTAAAAAGGTTTTTTTCCCATAAAGCAAAAAATGAGGGCTATTGTTTATGGTAGAATGAAGCAATCTGTTCTGTATGTAGTTAGCGCAGAGAATTCCTTCCCCCCCAATACTTCCTGGATAAGCCAGAATCACATACCATAGAATCTAGCATTGTTTGCAAAGACCTTATCTTGCGTTCTGCAACTGAATTTTCTTCAGGCGAAAAAGGACACAATTTACGGTGACTAATACTACGCTTTTTCAACCAGACCTGGAGGGCTTCAGACATGAACTCGCCTCCACGGTCACTCTGCAACTGGGTAACTTTGTAGGGAAACTGCCTTTCTATATAGTTGACCCAATTTTTAATCAGTTGACCAGTTTCACTTTTGTGTTTTAACAAGTATACCGGCTATAATCATCCACAAGAACAAAAAAAAAACACTTTGCTCCTCCTTCAGACTCTGCAAATGGCCCACAAAGGTCTGAGTGTACTAAAGCAAATGGCCTCTTGCTAATTCTAGTACTTTCAGGATAGGACCGCCGCTTACTTTTAGAGTTCTTGCAGGTATTGCAGTCCAGAAAAACTGAACATTTTTTCATTTTAATTCCCTTGTTTAATTCTGGCATTTTTGCAATACTGCGGAAATTGGCATGCCCCAAACGACGATGCCACAGATGCTGGCACTCATCATGCAAGGCTTTATTACAGGCTTTAACACATGCCCCAGACTCACTTACTAGCTGGTCTTTCAAAACAAACAAACCATTTTTTAGTGATGCTGTAACCACTTTTCCAGCTTTCTCTATTTTACAACCTGAACCCGAGAAGGTTACCTTAAATCCCTGCTTAACAAGACTTGTAACTGAAAGCAAATTATTTTCTAAACTTGGTACACGTAAAACATTGGTAAACTTGGTACTTAAACAGTTGATATTCACACTACCCTTTCCAACTGACTCATGCACTGTTCCGTCAGCTAGTACTACATTTACAGACTTACAAGGCTGCTTTTCTACAAAGGTTTGTGCAGACTTAACAAAAATGTTTGTCGCTGCTGAGTCTAAAATCCAGTCTTGTCCAACGTCGTGACTGGTGCCTCGAACTGCTGCAGAAACATACTGGACTCGACTCTTCCTGTCTCCTCAACTTCCCAGCAATCGCAGGCCGCCCTTTTCTTGTGTTTTCTCCCAGAGACACAGTGCACTGACGTACTAAATGTTTGGTTGACCTACAACGATAGCATCTTCTGACTGTGAAAGCTGCTTCCTCTCTGTGGTCTTCAACATCTTTAGGTTGCCGCTCCTCATCAGTTGCATATCTTTTACTGGACTGCCTCCCATTTCTGGAATTACGGTGAGGGGTTGTGGCTTTCCTCTCATGGCGTCTTTCTTCCTCATCAAGCAAACGCCCAGTTAAGAAATGCATTGTTAATTGGCTTTCTGGAATTGCCTCCAAAGTTATCACTAAATTGTCCCATGACTCAGGAAGTGAAGACAGCACAATATAAAGCTTTGTCTGCTCAGAAAAAAGTTCCCCAAGTTCATTTAACTGTGAAAATAAATCACACATTCTTTGAAGGTGTGTTGAAACACATTCACCCTCACTTAGTCTGGCTCGGTACAGAGCTCTCATTAGAGTAATTTTGCTGCCAGCAGTGTCTCTAACGTGTATCGCTCTCAGTGCTTTCCAAATCTCACTTGCTGTTTCAAGGTCTCACATTTGAGATAACTGTGACTTCTCTAAACTCAAAATTAGATTGGCATAGGCTTTGTCCTCCAGCCTTTGGTCTGCTTCATCTAACTCTTCATCCTCATCTTTTACAGGAGGGTTAACAATAACAGTCCAACATTGTTCTTTCTTGGCTGCATCTGTAAACTCCATGACATATAACTGGATTCTCCCAGTTTCTCTACTGGAAAATATGAAGCTCCCCCTTGAGCTCCAGCTCCAAGTCCAGCCATAGATCCATCCAGCTTTCAGCTTTCCACTCAGTCCTTACTCACACGTGGCTTGAAGAAATGTTCGGCTCCTGGTCTCAAACAGACTCTCCCTGCCGACGCCTTCACACAGCCAGCTGCTTGAGAAACGCTGAGTTGCTTCCAGACTCTGGGTTCTTTTCACGCTCTGTCTCTGCCCACTCAGGACTGGGGACTGGGCCCATAACCTGTTGGAGGGGGATTTCCAGCTGGTGGCAGAGGACAGAGTGACTCCAGGAGACATAGGTGTAAAAACCCAAACTAAAACGAAGACTTTATTACCAAACAAATAAACACAAACTCTGGTGGGTGTTATTCCTGCAGGCAGGCTACAAAACGCTCCTTTTCCCTTTTTACAGCCACGGCCAGCTGCAACCAATTAACCCAGAAACTTCTTAAAGGTATACACACATGTTTCTGTGTAGAATGTCTCCCAACACAGTCATGGAGTCCACTCCATCTCAAAGGTCAGTCATCTCTTTGGTCAACAAAATGAAGACAGAAGCAAAAGCAAAAACAACAAACCTGACAGAAGTTACTTCAACGTCCCTAAAAACTTTCAAGCCGACATTTAAGAAGGCCTGGGCAGTTCAGGGAAATCTGGTCATTGTTTAAAAAGGCATGACTAGACAAAGAATATTCACAGAGAAACAAGTTGATATCCCTCCATTCAGGGCTCATGGTGTGGATGTTAGAATCCCAGATGCTGTTGGTCTCCATCCAAACAGTGGAGGTTCATCACATAGAGGTATGTATGGAATGTCAAAACTCATCTTATGATCCAACGGGGAGCTTTACCGAGAGGGTGCATGATTCCCCGATTCCCCTCCTTGACTTCCTTATGCAGAGCTCTCTGGTCAGGATCCAGCAATCTCCATGCCTCAACAAACAGGAACATCTTCATTTGCACGCTCCACATCAGCATTTATCTCAATCTGGTTGGTCTCAATTTAAATTTATAAATCACTTTCTTCACTTGGAACCACCCTCCCATGTTCATAAGGAGACCAACTCTGTATTGTTTCATTGGGAACAGTAGAGGAAAAATGACTATGACTCACACTTAATTTAAGCACAACAGTCACAAGAGCTCCTGACTAGGCATTCGGCTAGGAGATGTTGAATGTACTCTGTTGTCTCCTATCTCTCCTTTCCCCCCCAATTTAAACCAATTCATGAACTCAGAACTCATACACTGACCAATAATGATAAACCATATGTTATAGATATTCCTGCAAATTTATTCTATTTTTGAGAATCATATGAGAAGATTATTTTTGAGAATCACATGAGAATTCATTTGAGAAATCATATGAGAATTTGATTTGATAATCAAATCTACATATTTGTATCATTTATGAGTCCTATATGATCCTTGTTTTTAAAAGAAAAGTTATTCCTAAAAGAAAAGAAAAAGACAAAACACAGAGGCCCCATCTGTGTTCAATCTGTTTTTGAGAATCATATGAGAAGACTGAGACAGTCTACATATTTGTATAATTTTTTAGTAATAATAATAATAATTTTATTACTTATACCCCGCCCATCTGGCTGGGCTTCCCCAGCCACTCTGGGCGGCTTCCAAAAAAAATATTAAAATACTGTAATACATCAAACATTAAAAGCTTCCCTAAACAGGGCTGCCTTCAGATGTCTTCTAAAAGTCTGGTAGTTGTTGTTCTCTTTGACATCTGGTGGGAGGGCGTTCCACAGGGAGGGTGCCACTACTGAGAAGGCCCTCTGCCTGGTTCAATGTAACTTGGCTTCTCGCAGTGAGGGAAACGCCAGAAGGCCCTCGGTGCTGGACCTCAGTGTCCAGGTAGAATGATAGGGGTGGAGACACTCCTTCAGATATACTGGACCGAGGCCGTTTAGGGCTTTAAAGGTCAGCACCAACACTTTGAATTGTGCTCGGAAACGTACTGGGAGCCAATGTAGGTCTTTCAAGACTGGTGTTATATGGTCTCGGCGGCCGCTCCCAGTCACCAGGCTGGCTGCTGCGTTAAGGATTATCTGTAGTTTCCAGGTCACCTGCAAAGGTAGCCCCACGTAGAGCGCATTGCAGTCCAAGCGGAAGATAACCAGAGCATGCACCACTCTGGCTAAGCAGTCTGCAGGCAGATAGGGTCTCAGCCTGCGTACCAGATGGAGCTGGTAAACAGCTGCCCTGGACACGGATTTGACCTGTGCCTCCATGGACAGCTATGAGTCCAACATGACTCCCAGGCTGCGCACCTGGTCCTTCAGGGGCACAGTTACCCCATTCAGGACCAGGGAATCCTCCACTCCTGCCCGCCTCCTGTCCCCCAAAAACAGTACTTCTGTCTTGTCAGGATTCAATCTCAATCTGTTAGCCGCCATCCATCCTCCAACCGTGTCCAGACACTCACACAGGATCTTCACCATCTTCACTGGTTCTGATTTGAAAGAGAGGTAGAGCTGGGTATCATCTGTTGGTTTCTATTTCCCTCACTGAGCAGCAACTGCAGTCACAAGACATTGTTTTGCATTCCACAGTCAGAGTTACTGTTGGATTCCCACGGGAATGGGAGACTGGATGTGACGTTCACTGGTTTCCTGTTTTTCACTGTTCTCTCGGTTTCTTTGTTAGAGAGACAGTTGCTTCTCTGCTCTCACAGAGGCAAGATGCATGTTTGTATTCTCTCAGCATAGAGTGGAAATAAAGTTAAGAATGTGGCACATACTGCTTATCCTTCTGCTGTGTGGACTACTCTGCTTGGGCTCAAGATAAGACGAGCCTGTATCAGCTTCAGATGGGCCGAAGCTGGTCAAAATCTCACATCATCTGCATACTGATGAACACCCAGCCCATACCCCCTGATGATCTCTCCCATCGGCTGCATGTAGATGTTGAAAAGCATGGGGGAGAGGACAAAACCCCGAGGCACCCCACAAGTGAGAGCCCAGGGGTCTGAACACTCATCCCCCACCACCACTTTCTGAACACAGCCCAGGAGAAAGGAGTGGAACCACTGTATGACAGTGCCCCCAGCTCCCAGCCCCTCAAGACGGTCCAGAAGGATGTTATGGTCGATGGTATCAAATGCCACTGAGAGATCCAGCAGAACTAGGAAACAGCTCTCACCTTTGTCCCTAGCCCACCGGAGATCATCAACCAGTGCGACCAAGGCAGTTTCAGTCCCATGATGAGGCCTGAATCCCGACTGGAAGGGATCATATATAGTCCTATATGATCCTAGTCCCCTTCATGGATCACTGCCTTGCCGTGGCGAAGGGGCTTGAATAACTCAGAGAAGCTATGAGCTATGCCGTGAAGGGCCACCCAAGATGGACAGGTCATAGTGGAGAGTTTTGACCAAGCGTGATCCACCTGGAGCAGGAACTGGCAAGCCACTCCAGTATCTCTGCCAAGAAAACTCCATGGACAAAGGCAACAGGCATATAAAAGTTATGACGCTGGAAGATGAGCCCCTCAGGTCAGAAGGCGTCCAACATGCTACTGAGGAAGAGCGGAGGACAAGTACAAGTAGATTCAGAGCTGATGAAGCGGCTGGGCCAAAGCCGAAAGGACGCTCAGTTGCGGATATGCCTGGAAGCGAAAGGAAAGTCCAATGCTGTAAAGAAAAATATTGCATAGGAACCTGAAATGTAAGAACTATGAACCTTGATAAGTTGGATGTGGTCAAAAATGAGATGGCAAGAATACCGTATTTTTCACTCTATAACACGCACCAGACCATAACACGCACGTAGTTTTTAGAGGAGGAAAACAAGAAAAAAAATATTCTAAACTAAATAGTGGATATATGATTTTTGTGGTTCATGCTGTGGCCACAGACATGTGATCTGACAGTGAGTTTGGAGTAGCCCAGTGCAAAAATCCTGAGGATCCATGTGGATCCATGCTTTGTAACCACAGAGGAGGGAAGGAATAATAATAATAATAATAAATTATTATAGGAAGGGGAACCATGGATCCTCTGCTCACGACTGCAGCAGATCGCCCCTGCCACCCGCAGGCATTCGCTCTATAACACGCACAGACATTTCCCCTTACTTTCTAGGAGGAAAAAAGTGAGTGTTATGGTGCAAAAAATACGGTAAATATTGACATCCTGGGCATCAGTGAACTAAAATGGAGGGGAATGGGCAAATTCAGTTCGGATGACCATCATATCTACTACTGTGGGCAAGAATCCCATAAAAGAAATGGAGTGGCCCTCATAGTCAACAAAAGAGTAGCGAAAGCTGTACTGGGATGCAATCTCAAAAATGATAAAATGATCTCGATACGAATCTAAGGCAGACCTTTTAACATCATAGTAATCCAGGTTTATGCACCAACCACTGGTGCTGAAGAAACTGAAATTGACCAATTCTAT